GTGTGTGTGTGTGTGTGTGTGTGTGTGTGTGTGTGTGGCCGCGCGCGTGGGTCTGTGCGTGGCTGCAATTACCCACTTAAGTCGGCGGTCATCGTAGTAGATGATGTCGATACTAGTAATACTAAATCCGTACAGGCATTCACGATCGCGGAGGCGGGCAGGCCGCGCACGTGTTGTAGAGGTGGGCGAGCGAAGGAATAGAGTCGCCGTTAAGCATTCAAAATGAAGCGCTGAATGTCTACAGGAGAAGCGCATCGCAAATCACCACCTCGCTACTTCGATGTGGTGGCATTGCTCTGCCTTAGGTCCCTTGCTATCCAAATATATACACAGACATGCATGAACCTACATGGTCTATGATTAAACTGGTTGTTGCTGCTGTTGCTGGTGTTAGTTGTTGTTGTTGCTGTTGTTGTTTTTGTTTTTGTTGTTGTTGTTATTGTTGTCGTTGCTGTTGATAAATGTCGTTGTATTTGTTGTTGTTGTTGCTGCTGCTGCGAATGCTGTTGTTCATAGATGCTTGTGTTTCTTCTCATCACTATAATATCTTAGTACTACGTCTGTATTATGATTAATGTTGCCAATGAAACCGATGTCATGTACTGCCGTGTTAACGACGGCTAGGCGAAATAGCGTACGAGAAATGCCGACTAGCGTGCAAAGTACGAATCCGGGAACGTTCGATGCTTATTACCTTATTGCAGTGACGCAGTAATTCATTCGTCGACTTGGGGCTCTTAGATTGTCACAGTAATGACCTATAGGGGTTATGTGATCGGTGCTCTACCGCGGAATATCGCAAACCCAATTCATGGTGTCCAATACGCCACATAATGTAAAGCGATTCTCGTACTATATAAAGATTGTAAACACCACCAAATGTCTGCCATCGTGTATGAAGCTGCCATGTTTGTTTGATGCAATTACTGGTGCTTAGGCTGAACCCAAAGTGCAATGCGATATAATGGGTAGTACGGGGGGGGGTGGAGGTATGCTCAGTGAAGCGAAAAAAAATCCGTCAAGAAGTCGTAATGAGTTTTATAGCATTGTGCACGAGGCAAAAAAGACCTCTTACGCGTCCACGACGACTGTCGAACTTATATAGTGGTTAGTAGATTTAAAAAAAACGATTAGCAGGTTGTTGTCGTGCTGGTGACTGTGAGAGAAATACGTCTTTGTCAGACACGCACGAGAAAGGTTGCCTTGCCGAGACCTAGGCTCAAGCCAGCCGCTGTTACCACTGTGCTGTGGAATCTACGCGCAACGTATGCTATGTATATGACATATACATTATGTCACAGACAACTAACATGCCGCTTGTATATTGTACAGTTCACATGCATTTCACATGTCGCATATATGACGTGCCATATACATATATATATATATATATATATATATATATATATATATATATATATATATATATATATATATATATATATATATATATATATATATATATACTACTACTA